AGTGACATCACATACATAAACACTACAAATAAAAAAATAAAAAAAATTAACAGATCAAGCAAAAATGGTACACCCATATTTGGATAACAGAAAGAATGAACAGGTCCCAACTTCTTGGAATGGCAGACTACTTTCTCAGGGTTTCTCCCATTATCTGCATTACTGAAATGAGAGATGTGGGAAATTTAGAGACTTTACAAGATGCCAAGTTCAGAATATTCGAACTTAAAAAAAGAAAAAAGAAAAGAAAAATTCACATTTTATGCATATGTTGAAACACAAAACAAAATTTGTATTTGTTGGCTCACATAAAATATTATCCTATACAGAAACAGGTAAAAATCTCATTTGAACCGCATAATTATATTAATACTGCAAATAGCTCTAAGTATGTATTTCCTTATTGGAATCCATGAGTGATCTATGCTATGAAATTAATGGCAATTAAAAGTAACAGTAAGCATAGGACAACTTAACTAAATTTTTTACCTAAAACCTAAACAAAATTTTAGGGGGGAAAAATCAGCGAGATGAGTCAGAGGAATAGAAATGAGAACCATAAGAAGGATTTCCAGAATCCATTCCAACAGCATGCCAACAACCAGCATGAGAACAAACACAAGCAAACGTTTGAATCCAAGCTCTGATTTGACTGGTCTAGCTGCCATTTTTGGATTTGAAATGGCATTTGTTTTTAGCTTGTTCCTGGATGGAGTTAATGTAACATTCAAGTGACATGTTCAATCTGATCTAGAATGAGGACCTCAGCGTTACCTTCTTCTAATAGACTAAAACGCAATGTTCATTTCGGTATCAGTAGTAGATTTAGATAAAGGAAAAAAAAGAAAAAGAAAAAAAGGAAAGAAATCTATCAGAGTTCAGTTTTATCCTGATTAAGAGGAACTTTCTTCTGGAACTCCTCCTCATCTGAGGTGAATCCAGCTTCTTCAGTTTTCCGTTTGCTGGTCTCAGTGTCAGTCAGCTTGGACTTTTTCTTCTTCTTCTTTACCTTTTTCTCCTTTTTCTGCTCATCCTCGCTGTCTTTACCCTTTTTCTTTTTGCCCTTCTTTTTCTTGTCCTCTGCGATAGCTGCTGTGTCTCCCTTTTTCCCACTCCATTTCTCTTTAAGACAGTCTGCAGAGAGAATCAGAGGTACATGTTTTGCACGATCCTGATCTTTATACTGACTGTCCTCACTGTTATTAGCAACAAGAGATCAAATCACAGCTGCGTGTTCGGGAAGTGATGTCTTTTTCTGGCAGATCTATATTAGTTGCTATAGCAATGGCATAAGAGCCAGTACATTGCCAAATTAATCTTTTATAACAGAAAGCAACAAGCTGGTGATATGAAGACAGACTGCTAATAATTTGTATTTGCTCCTTTACACCATGACCACCTGGTATTTCATTACTGGATTCATTACTTATAGTACTTCACAAATAGTAATTTGACAAATATGTTTACAATGTTGTACTCAGTGTTGGGGAAAGTTACTTTTAAAAGTAATGCATTACAATATTGCGTTACTCCATAAAAAAGTAACTAATTACGTTACTTAGTTACTTTTTATGGAAAGTAATATACTAGTTACTTGAAAAAAGTAATCTGATTACGTAACTCGCATTACTTGTAATATATTACCCCCAACACTGGTTGTACTGTTTTTATTTAACATAAATATGTGAATTATATATATATATATATATATATCGTTTAATATATTTTACAATGTAATTTATTCTTGTGATGACAAAGCTGAATATAACCAGTCTTCAGTGTCAGATGATCTTTCAGAAATCATTCTAATATGCTGACTTGGTGCTCACAAAACATTTTTCTTTTCTTTTTTGTGTGCAATTTTATGTATGTTTACTAAGTAAAAGCATTAATTCCTTAAAATATATATATATATATATGTTTGTTTTTTTGCTCTGCTCTACACATTAAAGTATGTCCTTTACTATTACTGCTCCTGTGGCCTTGAGTAGTTGTCTGTGAATTCTTCCTAGAAACAACAGCTCTTAAATCTGGAGCCAATAAAAGAGATCAAGAGGTGTAGTCTTTAAGTAGTCATAATATTATGTCTAGAGCGGTTTAACTGATATAAAAGGGGTTGTGATTGAGTAAAACAGCTGTTAGTTTCACATTACCGGTGTCTTGTCCTTTCAGCACATGTTTTTCACACAGGTAAGTGGTGAGATCTTCCTCCTGGCTGCCTTTATACCAGTCTTCAATGACTTCTTCATACTGCTCTACCATCACATCACACTGAGGGGAAGAAAACACACATATTTCCCATTTACCTGTACATATACTGCACAAACATTTATGTTAAGGCTGGCAAAGGTATAGCTCAAAAAAGAAAAATAATCAAAGAGTTTTTACTTCACACACACACACACACACACACACACACACACACACACACACACACACACAAATAGCATACTGGTTTGAAACAATATTGTTAAAACTTTATATAAACATTAATAACATATATTTAGGCAGGGATTTTTTTATGCCCACCGAGGCTGCATTTATTTGATCAAAAATAGAGTAGAAACAGTAATACAGTGAAATATTATTGCAATTTTAATTAACTGCTTTCTATTTTAATTTGTTATTAATTTCTGTAATAAAGCTGAATTCTCATTAGCCACTATTCCAGTCCTCAGTGTCACATGATCCTTCAGAAATTGTATTCATATGCTGATTTACTTTTCATGAAAAATGTCTTATCATCAATGTTTAAAACAGTTGTGCTGCTTAATATTTTTTTTTATATTTTGTTTTTCAGGATTCTTTGATGCATAGAACGTTAAAAAGAACAGCATTTATTTGAAATAGAAATATTCTGTAATATTATAAATGTCTTTACTGTCACTTTTGATCAATTTAATGCATCCTTGAAAAATAAAAGTATTATTTTCTTTAAAAACAAATCCTAATGACCCCAAACTTTTTAACAATAGTGTATCTATGGTTACATTTCAGCAAATTCGAAATTAATGACATTAATGGCAAAACTTAACCCACTAATAACCCTAATTCTAAGATCTCTCGGTCACTCACACACCTGTTTTTTGAGATCAGCCACTTCTGCACTGGTCTCGTTCCACAGCTCATAGGGAATGTCCATGACCACCTTCACGCCTTTATTAACCAGGTTATGTAAGGTAGAGAATGTCTCAGACATACCCTGAACAGAGAAAGAGAAAGAGAAGCTATAATGCAGTATGCAATAAAATAATTCAAACTTAAACATAAAGGGTGTAGAAGAGAAGGAAAAGTGGTATCCAACCTTTGCAAAGCGATTACTTCCGACTCTCTCTTTGTGTAGATTGTACTGCATAATCCTTGAGCAAACGTTCTCCATCACCTCTATGAAACGAATATCACTGAAAAGCAAAAGACATTGCTCAATAAAATGTATAAGTCAGACTTCATCCAAAAACAGTATGCACAAGTTTACTTCATTTCAAGACCAGAATCAGTTGACGAATGCTGGTAACCAAATAAATGATGGTAGCCATTGACTTCCATAGTATGGGGTGAAAAAAAAAAAAGGAAGTCAATGGCTACCATCAGCTGTTTAGTTAACATTCTTCAAAATATCTTCATTTGTGTTCAACAGAAGAAAGAAACTCTTACAGGTTTGAAACAACTTGTGGGTGCATAAATGACAGAATTTTAATTTTTAGCCAAACGATCCCTTTAAGGTCAGGGTTTGCATTGAGAATGAAAAGTGACTTACGATTTGACATATTTGATTGGCGGTGCACCTTTATCATCCAAGAAGCGGTAGTTGGTTTCAATCACTTCTTTTGTTTTGCCAGTCTCTTCAAATGCAGACTTCATCTCAATACTAAGAAATTTGCACACTATAAAAACATACAGAACATATTCAGCATCAGAAGAGGAACAGAAAGCAGCTGTGCCTCAAAACCTAGTGTGCTGCCTACATAGACGGCATTGTTTGTCATTACAGGCCAATTCAAACGTTCCAAACATGCAGCCTACGTAGGCAGCACACTAGGTTTGGAGACACATCCAGTGAGGTCGGTTTAAAAGAGGAAACCTGCTGCTCAGGCCTATTATATTGTGTAAAATATGTGTCTGCGATTGCATTAGATGATTTTATCAAGCACTGAAAATAAGCGATCATGATGAATTTAAAACAAAATATTGATTCATTATAAATTAGAACAGTCTAACGTTACCTTCACATTTATTTGGCAGATGCACCCATTCATCGTCTCCGCTTTTGTTTGCAGCTGTGGCACTTACGAGAAACAACACGACGCACATACAAACATTCATTTTGTTAGTAGGACATTTTTACAATGTACAATACGAAAACACCGACCATGTTTATTTATCTAGCCACTATTTCTTCTGAAGCTTTCACTTCCGCTGTGGCAGGTTGGCGCAGACGCTGCGCGGAGTGGACCAATCACAGACGCCGATGTGGCAAGAGAGAGCCAATGAGAAACGTGGGCGGGGTCTGGAACATCATGCAGTAGAGATGTTTATGACAGGGTGGTTTGATGTATTTTTCACAGTGCATTTTAAATAAATATGGAAAGGTACGTTTTCTTGAACATTGTAGAAATTCCTCTTATGCAGATCAGGTTCTAGAACACATTTTCGTGTTGTTATGACGTAAATAAATAAAATATACCAAAGAAATTGTTGACGACGCAACCACCAGAGGGCATTACACTCCACATAATTAGATCTTGTCCAGGACCAGGAGTTTAAAATTGCACTCATAAATTAGTCTGTCATGTTTACCAATTACTAGCAGTGTTGGCTAATCTTAGCCTGCCAAAGACCCTCAGCAATATTTTATTCACAAGTGTCCCATTGATTTGCAGAGGCATTGTATTCTTATTCCGTCGTGGTAAATCTAATAAATTTGTACTAATAAGATATTTTTTATCTAAGGACGTATTTATTTACTTTTCTAAGATAAGCAATTTTTCTGTCGTGTTGGATCGCCACTTCATGTCCAATGTAAAATCCTGAGCCCAAAGTGAAAGCTGAAGACCACTGTCCTACATTAAAGGACAACAATTTTACATGCATAAAAATGTTTATACACTTGTATGTACACTCATATGCATTTTAATAAGGAATGTCATTGAAATGCAATGCAAATGCACCGCTTTTATCTGATTTTACCCAAACAAACTCATTTATAGGCAGCTCCCGTCTTCAACAGCATTATTTCAAGCGGCGGAGGGACATTGGATGCGTTCTTTGGACAGTATGCTGAAGTTTAACCTGGCCACTATTAGTCAGCACATCCAAGGGCACAAAAAGAAAAAGAAAAAAAATCGTAGGCAACATGACTCGCATTTACTTAGAAAAGGCCAAATAGTATAAAACATTATTACAATTTTCAGTAATTAACGATTCCACGTGGATAAATCACTGTAAACTCTCTGCTCACTTTTCAGTACTGCGGACAATACCATGGTACAAGTTGTGTCAAACTAATGATTTTTGTACCATAGCATATACACTACTAAGTCTCTTATACTCACCAAATCTTTAGGCTATTTGTGATGGCAAAGCTACATTTTCAGCAACCATTACACCGGCCTTCATTGTCATATGATCCTTCAAAAATCATTCTAATATATATATATTTATAAAGAATATCTCTTTGGATTTGAGACTTTAGTCTTTGCAACTTTACAGATCTTCTTTATGCACCAAGAGCTTGTAACACTCCAAAGAGAAAGGAAAAATTGAAATCGCATCATATGACCCCTTTAATCATACACAATGATGACTGGAATATGTATTAAGAAAATAAAAAGTCAAATTTGATATTATTTATGGATAGTTCACCCAAAAATGAACTTTTACTCACCCTCATGTCGTTCCAAATCTGTATGACTTACTGTCTTCTGTGGAACATAAAAGAATATATTTTGAGATATGTCTTTTTCATTTTCACATTTCTGTGGTTCTTAGAAGTGGAAATTGTCATAGTTGGGTAAACTTCTATAGTGGTGAATGGAAACTACAATAAATATAATTTTTGCATTTCCATTTGCAGCAATAGTAAAAGAAAAATCCACAATAGTGATTCAATGACTTTCCAAAAGAGGAAAAAATATTGAGAGACTGATTACGTTGGTCAGAATAAAGAGAAATGTCAGATTTGCTGTCACTCCCTCAGCTGTTGTATTAGAAGCACTCACGCAGCAGTGTTAACTAGTTTTATGTAATTCAGTGCCAGGGTAAGAAAACAATGTTATAAATTGTTATAACAGTGTTATAAATGTAAAATGAATATGAAAATATAAAAACGCTGCTAGATTTATGATGTTAATAACTGTGGAAACACATCATCACAATCTGTGAAAATGGTCTATAGAAGTCATTGATAACAAACTGTTTTTGTCTTCAAAATATCTTCTGTAGAAGGAAAAAGAAATCATACAGGTTTAAAACGACATGAAGGGGAGTAACTGATTCAATTTTTCATTTTTGTGTGAACTATCCTTTTAATGATGTGATGTAATGAAGACACAAAAATGCAACCTGGTTTGCGTTTGTCTGCTCTGCTGACTATGGCACTTTTCTGTCCCTTCTGCATCTCTTGTCGTCCATCATTTCATTTACTCATCTCATCTGTCTTCTAAATGACCTTCGATTTGGTTAAATCCCAGAAAGAAATATTGAAACAAATATTGCAGCAGCAAACAAAAGAACAAACAGAAGAATCGGTTGTGGTTAAGGTAATAGTTATTGATATCATCACTGATTATTGTTATTATCAAAGTGCTGTACAGTACATACTCGCAATACTATAGCTGCGTGGTCACCGAATCGTCCTGCTCCGTTACCCAGTGGGAGGAGTCTGGCGTTTGTCCGCCACAGGGCCCGACCAATCCCTGGAACACGTCCTCATTTGAGTCCAGGAGGCGGGAGCTGGAGGCGGAGAAACTGGAAGCACAATGCAGGGAAGAGGGTGGGGACAGAGGTCCTAATGTCAGTAAAACATCCCTCCCATTAGCTCTCTGTCCATTTGTTGTCATGGCATTGTCGCCCTCATTTAAAACAGCCACATCCACCTGATTAAGGTTGGTCTCGCTGCGGGTGACGGGACCATCACCCCTAGTGAAGCCCAAGTCATGCCAAGCCCCCGGCGGTTGAAGCAATCCATCTGAGATAGTGTAGGATGCAGCAGTAACACCTGCAGGCTGTGGAAGGTGGCTGCCCATGCGTGAGAACAGCAGCCCGAGCCGTCTGAAGGAGTTCTTCTTGGAACTAGAGAAGCGTGAAAAGCGCCTCCAAGTTCGTGAAAGTGCAGGTCTAGCTGCAGCCACTGAGGACAGGGAAGAGGAGGGTGAGGGGTTCTTCCTCAGTCCGTTGATCTTTGGTTTACCCTCCCTGTATGCAGACGATGCCGCTGTCGTCGATGTGGCCACCTCCATTCCGGAGATGGAGTGAAAGAGGGCAGAGACTCCGTACGATGGATCCGAAGGTGTAATGGTTTTGAAAGACACACCTTTGGCCCCGATGCTGCTCCCATCGCTGTGGTGACAGGCCTCGCCATCGTCGCTGAGCTCGTCTCGAAGCGTCGCCTCACTGCTGGAGGAATAGTTCCGTCGGGGTGGCTTTCGGTTGCCTAGAAGGTCCAAAACTTCATAGCGGAAACTGGAAATGTCCTGTTTCAGCTCCTACGGCAGAGCATTATTACAGAATTACATAATGCATTCGAAAAATATCCTCAATTTTACCACACCAGAAATGACAGATTCTAAGACGTTTCATGACAAAACTTGATCACAACAAGTCAGAATATTTTTTTCAGAACATATTTGATGTACTGTAATTAGAAACCAGATTTTAAACCACCTGAGATTTCACTGTGGGTGGAGAAAGAAAAAAATCTAAAGGACTGGAATTGATTGATTTTATTGTTGTTGCTTCATGTCTTAACTGAATGCAATGCAATAATAAAGTAAAAAAAAAAAAAACATTTCATTAACTGATATAATGTTAATAAGTAATAAAATTGTGACTTAATATATATAATATACTGACAACCACCTAAGAACACTGAAAGTTACATGAAAGTTCATCACAAGCAACTTTTCCACAAGCACACTTATACGCACAAATACAAGACACCATCATAGAAACACATGACACTAAAATAATGCAATAAACATTAATGTAATAACGTAAGATGTAACAAAACCCTAATGAACATAAGGGATAAAAAAATAAGAAACACAATTATTTGAAATGAAAACCATGTTAATCAATGTAAATAAAATGACATGTTCTTTCTCGCTTACAAAAACTGTACTTTTAAGAGTATTTTACTGTAAAAGTCTATTACAGCATATTTTACAAAAATGTTATTTTACATTAAAATTACCATAATTCTCTCTCTCTTTCTCTCTCTCTCTCTCTCTCTCTCTCTCTCTCTATATATATATATATATATATATATAAAAGCTAAAAATTTATCAATGAGTGTGCTAATGATTGCAAATAAAGATTATAAGATCTCCAGAATTTCTGGAAACACTGGGGCATTTGAAGAATGATTACTTGTGTCATTGTTTCTGTTGGTAAGCATGCATTTCCTGATGTTTATGCAAGATAAATAGAGAACAGTCGGTTTCAGAAGCACCTTAAAATTCTCCTCTGTCAGCCCTTCGCTTGTCTTGGCGCTGCGGATCATGGACGCCACATATCTCTTCACTAGACTACGGATGACCTCCTGAGGGTTGAAGGAGAAGAAGAGAAAGCAAGCAATCAGACAGAACTCCCTAATCTTGTTAATCTGGAAATGTACAGCTGGATCTTTGGTGTGACAGTGCAAGGAAAAAGAGACATGGAAAACAAAGCCAGAGGCGAAGTGATGTAATGCAATTACATGCACATTGTTTGTATTCTCACATGTGTGTAATTGCAGAGCTTTATCTGCTGGCATACCTGATAATGCTGATTCTGTATCAGCCTGTCAGCATGCTTTTCCTGAAAGGAGAAACAAATATTCACACTATAATAATGCAGGGTAATTGAACTCATTAACTAATCAAATACATGACACTTTTATTTATTTGTTTGTTGGATAATTATTAATTTTAAATCCCAGGGTCATTCACAAGAAACTCCATTCCCATCATTAATTAATGAATGCATATAATGAATGAATGAAATTATAAATTTATTATATAGTTATAAATAGTGTAGAATAAAGCATTAATTGTGTTTGTCACCCAATACTAATGTTCCCATTATTCACCATCGACATTCAAATGACAGAATAATAAACCATATTTGAGAAAATTGTGATTTTATTGGAAACAGTTTTGCTTCTTAATGTTTGTGAAAACCATGATATATTTTTTCAGGATTTTTTGATGAATAGAATGTTCAAGAGAACAGCCTTTATTTGAAACAGAAATGTTTTGTAATATTATAAATATCTTTATAGACACTTTTGATCAATGTAATGCATCCTTGCTGAATTAAAGTACTTAAAAAATGACCCAAAACATTTGAATGGTAGCATATATACTGAGCTGATGGTTTTGGAAAAAAAAAAGAGATAGTTTGATCACATGACTAAGACATGTTGTACTCTATCTGCTGATGCTGCTGATCCTCTGGTAGGACATTTAGACTAATGCAGATTGCTCCAAAAAAGTCTGACAGTAACTAATTTCATGGAAATGAAGAAACAATTTGGTTTTATATCAACACTTTCCTATCACACCCATAATGGGAAAATCAATCAAAAATTTCAAACGCAATTTCAATGCAAATTTTCATGTGCAGTTGGCTATATACTCCCTGTCCAGCCCTAAAATGCTTTTGCATTGTATTGAGATGTCCTGCATTCCTGCGGGTCCAACAGGAATACTGGTATTTGCATACTCTGAAAACAAGGACAAAATCTGATGTGCACTTACACATGCAAATAAAGGGATTCTGATTTTGCAGTGTGAGCTGAGAGATTCTTAGTATTCTTATCAGATATTGCAGGAACGCTGCGCTCCTCTTAGCTCTACATGTAGGCAGCTTTATATAATGATCAAGGTTTGATCCCAGCTCAGCGATGCCAGCAAACATGTGGGAGAGAGTTTTGAGTGAGTGTGCTTCAGTTGTGTGTATGCGTGTGTGTGTGTGTGTGTGTGTGTGCGCGCATGAATGACAGTGTGAGAAAGAGAAAGAGAGAGAGTGCATGAGCATCTGTATTGAAGCAGGCCAATAAAGGCCGTGCAGAGAGATGGATTTGTAATAAAAGTGAGTCAGGTGGAACAAGAGAGGATATATTCGAAACGAAGATGACGAGAGTCCCGGGAGTTTCAAGGGGAGTTGCATGGCAACACAGGAGGTTAAACTCCAGACAGACTCGGGCCATGTTACACCTCATTACATCATCAAAGGAGAAATAGAAACTCGTTGAATAAAAAAACATTTTCTTCATAGAAATTTAATTAATTTATATGAAACTTCACTTCACTGATTCAATTGAAATGAAATTTGCTACCACTCAGGCCACTGTGAATGAAGCCAGTAGTTGACGTTTGGGGGGAGGGAGGCTAACAGGCCGGTTTTGACAAAAGACCTGTCTCATGAATATTATTAATGAGGTTAAGCTGACGGTAACTTTTCTGGTTATCTAACCTAATTAATAGGTCATGCACCAAGCCTTTGCCATAGTAGGACTGATAAATGGGTAGTTGACCTGCTAAACATACTAAACTACATCTAAAACTATTTTAAACAGTATGTCACCAGTCATTTTATAATAATTATACATGGCACTTTCTTGACTAAATTTTAGAGACAAAGAATAATTGTACTTTGAAAAAATATCTTACTGAACAGCAGTGTATCTCTTAACTGAAACTTGATCACCACTACTTGTCTTCAGTAGTTTCTTTCAAATGGTCTTGCAGCATGAATTTTTAAAAGAAAATAATACTTTTATTCAGTAAGAATGCATAAAATTGTTATAAAGTGACAGTAACAACATTAATGATCTTACAAAAGATTTCTATTTCAAATAAATGCTGTTCTTTTGAACTTTCTATTCATTAAATAATTCTGAAATAAATATATCATATATCATAATTTTCAACACTGTCAATAAACAAAATGTTTCTTAAGCAGCAAATTAGCATATCAGAATGATTTCATGTGACAGACTGAAGTAATGATGCTGAAAATTCAGCTTTGCATCACAGGAATAAATTACATTTTAAAATATATGAAAATAGAAAAAAAAAAATTAAATTGCAATAATATTTTACATTTTTGCAGTTTTACTGTATTTCTGATTAAATAAATGCAGCCTTTGTTGAGCATAAGAGATTCTCTGAAAATATCTTACCGACCCCCGATTTTTTTAACAGTAGTGTTTATACTTTGCCCTTGATGTTAATAAAAAAGAAAGCATGGTCATGTTATTCACAATTAGTGTATATGTACATAATATGTTTGAGTTATATGGTGTTGTAGACATACAGTACCACATTGATGTCACTGTTTCTGGAGATCAAAGTCGGTAGTAGAATATTTGATCTCAGAAATGACTAAATTGTAAATTATAGATTATAAATTTAATGTACAAAATTGTGTAAACACGTCCTCACAGACATCTGTTGATTTGAAAGTTATGCTGGATTTTTAAGCAGATTTTGTTAAAGTCAAAGGTTTTAATATGTATTTTTCTCACCCAGTGATATCTGAAAATAATGCATGATGATACCAGTCTAAACAAAATTTATACATCCCACTATGAGTCAAAAACCAATAGTTCAAAAGCAATAAAAATGTAAATGGGCTGTTTTAGCAATTCAGTGTGCTGATATATGTGTGTGGCTGTGCTGTTAGTCATTGTAATGGGTAATCAGTTACACAATGAGCCAGCTGCATTGTGCTTAAAGTGTAATTTAAACCAGAACCACTTGATCAGATTCAGATGAAATCACAGTGCGAATGTTCGAATGGATTCAGGTTGTTTTCTTTACCGTAAACTCCTTCAGATTCTCATGTTTATGGGGGTCTTCTTTAGGCGGAAACACTTTTATTCAGCAAGGATGCAATAAACTGATCGAAAGTTACAGTAAAGACATGTATGACATTACAAAAGATTTCAATTTCAAATGTTGTTATTTTGACCTTTCTATTCATCAAAGAAACCTGAAAAAAATATATCAGTTTCCACAAAAATATTAAACAGCCAAAACTGTTTTCAACATTGATAAAAAAAATGTTGCACCAAATCTGAATATCAGAAATATTTCTGAAGGATCATGAGACACTGAAGACTGAAGAAATTTTTTGCCATCACAGGAAACTAGTAATATTTCACAATATTACTGTTTTTTTTTGATCAATGGGCTGTTTTAGCAATTCAGTGTGCTGATATATGTGTGTGGCTGTGCTGTTAGTCATTGTAATGGGTAATCAGTTACACAATGAGCCAGCTGCATTGTGCTTAAAGTGTAATTTAAACCAGAACCACTTGATCAGATTCAGATGAAATCACAGTGCGAATGTTCGAATGGATTCAGGTTGTTTTCTTTACCGTAAACTCCTTCAGATTCTCATGTTTATGGGGGTCTTCTTTAGGCGGAGCAGCCTCCGACCCGCAGAGCCGTCCGTGTACCCATTGACACAGGTACCAGAATGACTTAGGACTGGGGATGGCGTTGAATGGTGGGGGGAGTGTCCCGCCCTCATCGAAATAACTCATCCACAGCTTGGTTCGAGCAAACTTCCACTCAATGTCAGCATGGTCCTAAGGCACAGTGACAAATAAATTATTAATAATATGAAATTAATGATAAAGTGAGAAAAATCAATGAAGTGTGAGATAGTCAGCCTATGTATCCAAAATGTATAAAAAATTTATATTTATATTACACAGTGTATTTTAAAAACATATGAATGAGAATTTGTTACGATGAACCAAAGTTTGGGGTCAGTTCATCAAAGAAACCTGAAAAAAATATATCAGTTTCCACAAAAATATTAAACAGCCAAAACTGTTTTCAACATTGATAAAAAAAATGTTGCACCAAATCTGAATATCAGAAATATTTCTGAAGGATCATGAGACACTGAAGACTGAAGAAATTTTTTGCCATCACAGGAAACTAGTAATATTTCACAATATTACTGTTTTTACTGTATTTTTGATCAAAATGTCTTTCTAGAACATTAAAACATCTTACCAACCCCAACATTTTCAATCAAAATTTGACTGAAAAAAATATGTGTGTGAAAAAGACTAGAATTTCTATTCATCAGGAAGTGATATAATGTGGAGCATAAAAAAGACACCATTAAGTTACTATGGGAACCTGCTTGCAATTTGTTGGCCAGTCATCTGCATATTTGTGTGTAATACAGAATATTTCTGACTTTTTTAATTATTGTTGTCAGTACTCACAGCAATGAGCTGGTAGGAGTTGTTCATCATAGCGATGAGCATGTTAAGGAGAACCACCAGTGAGATGACATTGTAGGTGCCAAACATGGTGGCTCCAACAAACTCAGTGAACTCGTGCCGAGCTTTCACATTTGTTACATACAGATTCAGGAGGCCAAATATCGACCAGAACAGAGACTGAAGTGTTTCAAATAACCTGTAAGACAGATAGATGGAGAAACAGAAGGCAAGAAAGAGAGAGAGATAAAACATGAATCAGAGTATTGCGCAACAACAACACAGATGCATTTAGAATGGGACAGAGAAGATCACAAAGCTCCAGGCCTAAACGGTTCATTCGTAAATAATGAGAAACGGATCAAGTTATTAAAAAATGTGCGTGAATGAAATACTGTGAGAGATTATGAATAAGGAAATATGGGAGATGAGGGCCATTGTAACCAACAAACTCAGTGAACTCAAATTCATTTAATAAGACATATTATATTATTATATTATATATATACATATGTATGTATGTATATATATATACATATGTATGTATGTATATATATATATATAGTATATATATATATATATATATATATATATATATATATATATATATATAGATAGATAGATAGATAATCTTCATATTCTTTGCACTGGCAGTCTGAAAATGTATCTAAAATGTAATGAATTGCACAAATTGATGGTTTACACGCACACAAACATGCACTAACAATATGACACAAGGCTGTCACGGCTGTGTAAATAACTCTGCTAGAAGCTACAGTATTGCAATGTACAGCATCAAAAGTACCTAAGATTCAAAGTTTGTGTGTCTACGATCTCCCTTAGGGTGAAAGGAATTGTGATTTTTTTCGTCACATTAAATATTCAACATTGACTTTCATCAAAGTCTTGGCAGAGATAAATACAAAGTGGTTTCCTGAACATTGGAAAAAAGGAGTTGAACTGAAAAAAGCAGAACTGAAAGAATGTAGCACCGTGGATCACCAATGGAAGCAGGTATTAAACTGCCTTTGATAGAGTTTGATTTGAGAAACTTCAGTGGCACAGGCATAGCAAGACTGTTGAGCAAGACAACTGAGCAAAACACAGCAAGACTACTGAAAGAATGCTGACAACAAAAAGTGCTGTGTCCAGGAATCCAGTGTGACAGAGGAAAAAAAAGTACTTTATTTTGTATTTGTCTCACTGCCTTTAATTCTCAACAGCATGTGCAGTGGCAGCCCTTGCTCACTTTGTGCCCTAGGCAAGATAAAAAATGGCCAAAAACACCCCCAACAACATGTAAGAGTGTGTAGTATATATATATATATATATATATATATATATATAGTAGTACACACATACACATATAGATATAAAATAAAGCACATACTACAAACAAAGATAATATTGATTTGTAATTCTATATATACAGTCAAACCAAAAAATTTTCAGACACCAGATATAATTTTTGATATTTTTTTACTAGTAGGTGCAGGACACTATAGTTTATTTATGTAAGTGAGGATAGCAAAATAAAGTAAACTTTGACATAT